AACTTATTTCTAAATTTGCTACAGTTGTATGGAGACCAAATATTTATAGAGATTCTTCACAATCTTGCGCCAGACACACTTTAACCAGACATCATCAAAATGGAATTGAGGTAAGTATTAATGATGTCTGTAATAGCTAACTGTAGACCTATCATCATGAAAATACGATCACTTGGGTCATTTCCTTGTCGTGTTACGAATAGACGACAGGCTGAATTCCACCTGATGTCTTCATCTGAAATAAGTGTCTGAAAGACAACTTGTTCCTTGTTCAAATCAACAGAAAATGCTGTAAAAATTATGATTATTCTGATCGAACAAATTGAACTTTAATGTTAAATCGTATGAAATGGATTTGTGATCTTTGATCATGAAATGTGCAATTGATATTTTTATTATTTAGTTTAATTTTTGTCATGTGAGAACAGAACTATACGTTTTGTCACTATCACTACAGCTTCATTATCATCAGAGTTCAACTTTAAATCTGGCTATTAGAATTTCTGATATTAAGAATTTAATCATCCAAACGTTTGATTAAGAAGGTCAAATCTAAACATTTGATTAAGACGGTCATGCCTAAACGTTTGATTCAGAAGGTTATATCTAAACGTTTGATCAGGACGGTCAAATCTGATTAAGACGGTCAAATCTAAACGTTTGATTAAGAAGATCATATCTAAAAGTTTGATTAGGAAGGTCATATCTAAACGTTTGATTAAGAAGGCCAAATCTAAACGTTTGATTTAGACGGTCAAATCTAAAGGTTCGATTAAGATGATCATATCTAAACGTTTGATTAAGAAGGTCATATCTAAACGTTTGATTAGGAAGGTCATACCTAAACGTTTGATTAAGAAAATCAAATCTAAACGTTTGATTAAGAAAATCAAATCAAAACGTTTGATTAAGAAAATCAAATCTAAACGTTTGATTAGGAAGATCATATTATCTAAACGTTTGATTAAGACGGTCAAATCTGATTAAGACGGTCAAATCTAAACGTTTGATTAAGAAAATCAAATCTAAACGTTTGATTAAGAAAATCAAATCTAAACGTTTGATTAAGAATACCAAATCTAAACGTTTGATTAAGACGGTCAAATCTAAACGTTTGATTAAGACGGTCATATCTAAACGTTTGATTCAGAAGGCCAAATCTGATTAAGACGGTCAAATCTAAACGTTTGATTAAGACGGTCATATCTAAACGTTTGATTCAGAAGGCCAAATCTGATTAAGACGGTCATATCTAAACGTTTGATTAAGAAGGTCATATCTAAACGTTTCATTAAAAAGGTCATATCTAAACGTTTGATTCAGAAGACCAAATCTGATTAAGACGGTCATATCTAAACGTTTGATTAAGAAGGTCATATCTAAATGATCAGGACGGTCAAATCTGATTAAGACGGTCATATCTAAACGTTTGATTCAGAAGGCCAAGGCTGATTAAGAGGGTCAACTCTAAACGTTTGATTAAGAAGGTCATATCTAAGCGTTTGATTAGGAAGGTCATACCTAAACGTTTGATTAAGAAGGTGATATCTAAACGTTTGATCAGGACGGTCAAATCTGATTAAGACGGTCAAATCTAAACGTTTGATTAAGAAGATCATATCTAAACGTTTGATTAGGAAGGTCATATCTAAACGTTTGATTAAGAAGGCCAAATCTAAACGTTTGATTTAGACGGTCAAATCTAACCGTTTGATTAA